TATATATTTCTTCTTTTAAATATGCTTATTGCTTTAAAAACTGTTATTTTCTGTCCGCAACATGTTAAAAAATCTGCGCAACTATCTTAAATTTTATTATTTATTAAATTTTATATTTAATTTTGTTATGAGATTTGTTATTGCATCGTTTTTCTAATACCAAGATTTTCATATACAAAGCCGAATGGCACAGCAAGTTCTGTTAATTTTTACGGATACATTAACGCTATGTTTAATTCCGTGTTACTACTTCACTGACTTGGAAAGGAATTTAGATAGTGCGCTTTGGTCGAATAGTAGCCCATTTACGAGTTCAACGATGTTCGACCGCAATCTCCGTAGCAGAAGAATAGGCGTAGTTAGATGTTGGTCGATCAACCCCGTGCAATTGTGTGCTATACGCGGCGAAACAATTAAAATTGCTTTTGCACATCGTAACGACCTCGCAAATTGGCCGTGGGAAGTCAAAGGGCGTCTCTCAGACGCGATGAAAGTAACGGCGCGCCAATTCGCAACGTGCTGACCTCGGGGCAAAACTGCAACCCTCCTCCACTACCTGCGGTTTCCGGAAGTGCCGAGTTCACCCACCGCGTCCCCGCACATACCGCTTATATCGCAGCGGTACTCAGACGCCTCTCTCTCTGCAACTACTATTATCTCTTCTAAACGATTTGTTCGATGCGGACTAACGCGCTGATAGTCGTACAAGCGAGATTAGTCGCGGTCCAGCAACTTTGGATCGCGTAGCCTGGTGAGATTTTATGCATCAGCGATGTATGTACGTGCAAAGCGAAATGGACGGAAATGTAGCATTTCCGAACTAGTCGCCTCGTTATGGCGTGTGTAAATCGGATACGTCGCATCGACGAGCGACTACATTTCGTTACATGAGCGTTAAAGCGTGCACGATATCTATTTGATAGAATCGTTTTGGCACACTCGAACGTAAAGGGATAAAAAAGAAGACGTTGCGCAAAGTATGAAGAAACGATGTAGAAAGTGTTATCGCGCACAAAGTTTGCATTTGTAATTTACGTGAATTCTTCGAATTTGCGACAATATATATATAAAGAAAAAAGCAACTACAGAAAACGGAAGTACGCGTCGACAAGAGTATTGGTGAGAAAACGTCGCGGTTAGTTCGCTTCTCTCCGTGGCATTTCGCGACGGAGAGAAGCGAGTCGCGGGTAGACGTTTATTTCCATGCGTTTATTTCCATTCAGCCCAGTTGCCGTCGCGAAGGACCGACACAGAGGAAGTGAGGGTCGCATTTGTACGTTAAGCCGCATTTGCACGTTGCCAAGCTCCCCCAAACTACTCCGGACATTGTTTGCCGTTCTGGCGGGGCCGGAATGGAGAGTAAACGGGGGATACCTAGAAGCTGGGAGACACGTACACGGCGTAGAGTGCGAGAGGCGAACCGAGATGGAGAAAAGCGGAGGAAAGGGGGAGCTCGCAATTCCCGGATCCACGAATTCGATCCGCTTCACGGAACAGAAGCAGCTTGCAAAACTTGCGAAACTGCTACGCGACGCGAGATGCTGTTATTACGCGACACCAACGCAAACTCTGGTAATCGGATGGTGGAGAAGTACGCACGACTCGCTGGACACGTCAAGCAGATCTTGGACACCAGGTATTTTGGGCAGATATGTTGATATTATGATGGCGAGAAAAGACACTTGGAGGATAGAGAGAAAAGTTTACGACTTACTCTTGCATGTATAGATACATGATACAAATGAAAGAATCAACCGTTCGTGCTTGATTAATTTATATGCAAATTACGAAAGTAATGCAATGAAATTTTGAACAAAACCTACTTTTTATAAGAATATTTGCAGCTTTTACCGAGAAATATTAATAATTTAGAATGTCTCCGCGAAGCAGACCTCGATGAGTTGTTATACGTCGTAATAAAGCGGCCTAAATAAACTGGAAAGTGATTACAAGACTATAAGAAATAAGAAATAATATATCCTTTCCTCATCGACTTGGGTGATTAGAGCGAGCAATGCATTATTGCGCTCCACTAAACTTTGCTTTCCGGGAAAAACTCAGTTTTTTCTTATTTTGCTTTTAAGTTGCCTTATAAAAGAATATTAATTAATGCGTTCTTTGCTAACTTCTAAGTTTTTTACATTCTACTATCGAAGCCAAGTCAAAGGCTAATATGTAACTTTTGTATTTTCAATAACGATTGACGATTATTTCTGAACAAAAAGCAATTTTATTAATTGTTTTGTATCCTATATTTTGTATATTAATTAGATTTTTTATTAGTTATATATGTGTAAATATTTTTTTATCATTTAATATTTTATTTTTGAAGAATATAATTTTTCTGACAACAAATAATTTTCAACGCTCGAGCAAAAATAAATAATAGTTTATGTAATCATGTTGATGAGTATCTTTAATCTTAAATTTAAATATCACATTTAATCTATAATTTTAACATGTTTTTTCAATAATTCTTTTCTCAGCAGAATTTGATAGAAATGGAATATATAAAATGTCATAGGTGACTCTCAATGATAGCTTTGCTATTTACGTCGTTATAGTATCCA